TTTCGCATCTAATGAATTAATACAATTATTTAAATTTAGATATGATCTCAGTATGTTAGCCGTTATGTTATTTGTGTGGGAAAATAAAGTTATTAATTTTCATACTAAAGCCTAAAAAAGTTAATAGCTTATCCTAAAATAATTTTGATTTCTGGAATAACAGTTTTTCCGCTTCGTGCGCTGACCTGTATCACTTATTTTATGTTTTCTAAAACAATATGTAGAAGTTAAAATTTAAGAAAACTATTCAATTTATTTTTTTAAAAGAGTGATTTATTCATTCAAATGAAAAACCTTTTACAATGTATATTTCTAATACGTAATTTAGTTTAAATAACACGCTGAATAACAATCAAAAATAAAGTCCAAAATTAATAATCAGTGTAAATTTTTAAAAAATTTTTGCAGTACTAGATTCGATAGTTTTTGAACTACCTTCTTCAGCTGCTAAGTGCAAATAAACCAAATAAAGGGTGAAGAAAGATAAGATAAGGAGAGATAAAATAAGAAAAATTGGACAGAAGTTAAGCTACTATTGATGAAACAAAAACAAAAACAAAAAAAAAAAAAACAAAAAAAAACTAAAACTAAATTTCTTTAAATGCTGAAGGTAAAGATGGATTGCAATTGGAGTCATTAACTAGAACAGAATTTTTTTTTTTTTTTTTTTTTTTTTTTTTTTTTTTTTTTTGTTTTGTTATGTGAAACGCTTCTAAAAAAATCTAATTCACCAATGGAAGACGTTTTCTGAATAATTTTGGCTGCAGAAAAATGGAAAATGTGATTTTCATTCCGATAGTGCTGAGCAACAACGGATTTCTATGTTTCTTTTTTCCTAACGTATGCCTCGTGTTCTTATACACGAAATTTTAAGGCTCTTTTTGTTTGACCAATGTAAATTAAACCACATTGGCACGGACGTCCGTGCACTTCAGGTTTGCTCCTCCAAATTAGTTATTGATCAAGAACTAAATTATTTAAAAGCAGTTGCTATTGACAGGGGCTTTTCACCCAACATTATTAACCGTGCAGTTTAAAAATTCTCATCGGAACACATCAAAAGGTACAGTTCTGTTTTAGGTGATTATAGGAATTCTGTTGTTATTCCTTTCTTTCCATCAATTAGCTATAAAATTGCACGTATTTTCAGAAATTTTAACTTTCGGTTTGTTTACTCTCCTATCAATAAAATTCCTAGTTCCATGCTTAAGGACTCCATTTCGGATATGAATTCCTGGGGTATTTACAGGATTCCTTGCCAGTGGGGTTTAATTTAACGAAAAGAGCCTTAAAATTTCGTATTAAAGAACATGAGGCATATGTTAGGAAAAAGGAATAACAGAAATCCGCTGTTGGTCAGCACTGTTGGAATGAAAATCCCACTTTCCATTTTTCTGCAGGCAAAATTATTCAGAAAACGTCCTCCATTGGGGAATTAGTTTTTTTAGAAGCGTTTTACATCCAAAAAAACATTTCTGTTCTAGTTAATGACCCCAATTGCAATCCATCTTTACCTTCAGCCTTTACAGAATTTCACCCCCCCCCATCAGTAGATGGTCATCAATAGTAGCTTAACTTCTGTTCAACTTTTCTTATTTTATCTCTATCCTTATCTTATATTTCTTCACCCTTTATTTGGTTCATTTGCACTTAGCAGTTGAATAAGATAAATAAAAATCTATCGAAACTAGTACTGCAATTTTTTTTTTTTTTTTTTTTTTTTTTTTAATTTACACTGATTCTTAATGTTGGACTTTGTTTTTGACCAATACGTATTCTTTCGACTTCAGTTCACTTCTAATAAAAACAAACATCAATTATGAACGAAGAGGAATGAAAGAAACCAAAAGAAAATGCTTGGTTTTACCTAAAAGAAGAATGCTCAAATACACCGTACGGTAGTCTCAAATGTATAATTTAATGGTTTATAATTTGTTGTTTCTGAACACAGAGTAGGAGAAATAAATTTTCGCATTTTTCTGCAAGCATAATAACTGGAAAAAAGCGAAGTTCTCGTTAATTTAGTTCAAATATTCATTATTTTTTAATATAAATATGGATTTGTGGATCTCAAAATTTCTTCAAATCTACCATGCGGCTTCTATCATAGTAAAGTTTGAGCACCTCTAGTGTATAGTTTAATGATGAAGTGGAACAGTTTTTATTGTTTTTAAAAGAAGATGAAGCAAATTTATTCTGTCACTGAAGTATATCATGCTGCCCGGAAAATGCCATCAACTTTCCTAATATAGAAATTATTTTTTAAAAAAAATTTGACATTTCCAGTTTCCAGCGCATCTGGAGAAAAATCTTTATCTGCTTTAAAAAGAGAAAAACACTGTTTGAGGACGATGTCAGAAGAAAGATTAAACTGTATGGCTTCATTATATATGCAACATGAAATTTTAAATAACACCCATTCCTCGAAAATAATTTGCTAGGTATTAAACATTCTACTTAATAGTTATTTAATTTAATGAACAATTATATGGATTTTAAAATTTTCCATAAAATGTTGTAACTGTTTCATGTTTTACTATTCTTTTCCATGGAATATTTAGTTTTTTGATGTAATTTCAATGCGTTTTTAGTCTTGATATGCAAAGGAAATAATATGCGAATGTATAAGAACAGGAACAAAAATATTATCCATAATTTTATTAAAATATTAGTAAAACATATTAGTAATGTGTAATTAATTATTACACTTCAGCACTAATATTCCGTACCTATAGTTCCAGCATATTCTGTAAATAAATACTTTTTAGTGGCCCCCCCCAACTGGTTTAACTCGCTCCTGTGAGTATGTGCTTTTAAACTGTTTTTCAGTAGTAATTATTAAATCAACGCTGGTGTAAACCTGTAACATATCATTTTATTCAGAAATATAGCATGTCATAAGTTTAGAAAAGTGTTCATTCAGCATCAAGTACTTTGACCATCGTAACATATTGAAAATCCGTAGAAAATGAAAAATCAGAAATCAGACTATTTATATATTTATGTGAGCAGCTAACTGCTAATTACTTTTCTTTTTTAAATTTTCTTTCAGCCCTATAGTGGGTTTAATAATTCAGCTTGTTGCATTTTGTTTGTTAGTTAGTAATACACACATATTACGCATATACACATATGTTATTCAACTTGTTGTGTTTTGTTTATTGGTTAGTGATACACACATACAGGGGTTGGACAAAAATATGGAAACACCTTTAAAAAAACATGTTTCTTTGCTTAATATGGTGTAGGAAACCCGTTGGCATCCAAAACAGCTTGCAGTCTTCTCGGAATGGATAAATACAGTTCCTGTATGTTTGCCAAGGGAATATTATACCATTCTTCCTGCGAAACGGTGGCAAGTTCAGATAACGATGTTGGCGGTGGTTAACGAGAACGCACTTTCCGTTCCAATGTAGACCACAAAGGTTCGATAATATTCAGGGTCTGGTGACTGTGGTGGCCCAGGGGAGATGGGATAACTCATCCTCGTGCTCAGAAAACCAGTCCTGGACAATGTGAGCTGTGTGAACAGGGGCTTTGTCGTCTTGGAAGACACCATCACCATCTGGGAACAAAGTTTGTACCATGGCATGAACTTGATCGGCCAAAATGTTCACATAAGTCTTGGCAGTCATGTGACCTGACACAGTTATCATGGGGCTAGCAGAGAACCACGATATGGCTGCCCAAACCATAACAGAACCCCCTCCATGTTTCACTCTTGGCAACAAGCAGTCTGTATTATAGGCTTGAGATGGCGTTCTCCAGACGTAAACTTGGCCAGAAGTGGGAAACAATGTGGAAGAAGACTCGTCAGACCATATTACTCGCTTCCACTGCTCTATAGTCCATGCTTTATGACTTAAACACCACCTTTTCCTGTTGTCATTAGCATCACTAATGAGTGGCTTCTCAATTGCAGCACGGCCAGCAATTACCTATTTATGAAGCTCCCTTCTAATTGTTTTGGTGCTCGCAGGGTTCGGTAACACAACATTCATTTCAGCAGTAACTTTTGCAGCTGTGGTCTTCTTATTTCTCGTCACAATTGCCCTTAATGATCGTCTGTCACGATCACTCATGACACACTTTCGTCCGCGCTGTGATTTAGCAATGATGTTGTTTCCGCTTTCAAATATGCAGAATAAATCTTCGATACAGTACCTCTTTGAAACATAAAACATCTCGGCTACCTTGCTTACGGAAGCACCTACCATACGTGCTCCAACAATTTGCTCACTTTCGAAGTCTGTTAACTCTGACATAATGCAATGACAACCTCACATAACAGTACTCCGACAACAACTGAACTGTTTAGCACATTTACGAAGTTGTATAGGTGGCGTCAGTAGTCAAAAACGCCAGCGCCACCTACATATTTCATTAAAATCAATCTTTCTTTTCAAACATGCATTTCACAAGGTGTTGCCATATTTTTGTCCATCCACTGTATATATTGCCCTCACTTGTGTCAGGAACTTGCTAGAAAGTTTGAATTTAATGTGTTTAAGTTTTAATTTGTGTGTTTAAAGTTTTAATCAAGAAATCAATACAAAGTTCTGTATAATTAAGGAAACTTTAAAATAATTGAAAAATATTGCATGTATTCATTTTGTAGGAATAGTGATATCATGCCCCAATATGATACCATTAAAATGTCTAGTTTGGGGAATATAGTAGAAGTATTTCCTCATGCACACACCAAATAATAGAATAAATAAAGGGCTTTCTGAAGACAATCATTGCACTCTACTGAGCTATGTTAATTTTCTATCATTAATGATTTTTTTTATCATTTGCATTCATTCATAAAATAACTGCTAAACATTTTTCTGTTTCCATAATTATCATTAAATCTGTTCTCACAAAGTAGAATTCAAAAGTAATCGCATGGTTCTAGAATGAATTTCTCATTGAAAAATAGCTTTAACGCTTTTATAAAATATGTAGCATTCAAGCACAGTATTGAACTGAAAGTCTGATTTACGTCATTCTTTTAGAAGTTACTGAAATGATTGCTGAGCCGATGTTTACGGGTGCTAGCTATCTACATTATATGGATGAAAGTATAGTGAAAAGGTATGTTGTATTTTATACTTTAATGCTTTAAGTACATTTGCAATTGTTAATAATATTTTGATTTCAAAGTTTTGCTGCATGTGGGAAAACTGAATATCTGTGTACCTAAACCAGATTTTACATACAGGGATTTCATCTATGTTTACTTATATTATGCATAACAGAACTGCATTAGTTGTTCTTATTTATAACGAACTTACACATATACACATATGCTTCTTCAAGTCTAATTATGCTAAAATATGTGTAGAATTTGTGTAAATGAAATATTATCTTGACATTTAAAAGTTTGAATAAATTCTCATGGTAAAAAAAAATCACAGCTTATTTGGCCAGCCTTTCTTTTTCATCTCTTTATGCCTTTATTTTCCCTTATAACAGGGTTATCAAATATTAATGGTTGGGTTTCATGTTTTTGGTATTATTTATCTCGCCATGTTGAAGCTCTAATGATTCTGAAACAAGAGCAAAGAGGAATGTAATCACTTATCTTTCACCACGATGTAACAACATCTCAGGTTGTGCAGAATGTGTTAAATATTCGTTTCTCAGCATAGCAGACTGAACGAAATGAACCTATACTTTGGTATTCACCCAAACATGCACTTACTGGATTTCCTCATTTTAGATCATTTTAGATTACCGGAAAGCATTGGTACATAATTTTAAAAAAAAAATTTTAACTTTTGTTTTCGTTCATTTATTAGAAAGTAGAGAAATATTCATTGCTTGAGCGGTAATAAGGTATCATTCACACATTTTAGCTGTTATATTAAGGAACACCCCACGGAGACCATGTGGATGGCCTTCAGAAATATAAAGGAACATTAAATTGCGGTAGCACTGAACATGCATGATGCGATGCATTATATTGCTTAGTATGTACAGGGTGATTCGCTACCGGTGCGACAGACTTTTAGGAGATTTAGGGAGCACAAAGAGGATTCGAAATCACATAGCTTTCCAAAGTCTGAGATGTCTGCTATCGGAACTACTGTTAAAAGAAGCAAAGAAAAGGAATAGAAACAGCAACACGTTAGTGTAATAGAATTCATTTTATCATAAGTTTTACTTTGGCAAAAAGCTACATGCTACAGGAGGTGTTCGAGATGACGTCTAGAAGCAGTCATATAGGTTCCACAGCGATGCCGCATGGAATTCCTAATGTTCTGGAAGAGTTCTTGTGTGTCTCGTATCTCCCCGGCAGCTACACAGATGCAAGCGACGAGGTCTTCAACTGAATCACCGGAGGTCTCGTACACCAGTGCCTTCATTTGATGGAAGAAGATAAATTCCAGGTATTATGGGTCTCGCGGCATATCAGGCCAATGAACTGGAGCACCACGACCTATCTAATGTTGTTCAGATGCAACGCTTAAGTGTTGACGAACGTCGTTGTAGTAGTCTGGGGAGCCCCATCACGCTGGAACCACGTTGAGAGATTCAACAACTGAGGAACATGTGCTTCTTCAATCAGTTCACGCAGGAATTCTCGTAGGAAGATCAAGTATGCCCTGTCGTCCAGACAAGGGGGCAGAAGGTACGGTCCAAGGAGCTGGTCCCCAACAATGCCGGCTCAAACATTGACAGAAAAACGACTTTGAGCTGCACATGCTCGTGTGTCATGGGGGTTATCCAAAGCTAACAAATGGGCATTATTTTGATTGAAGGCTCCCTTTCTTGTGAAAAATGCCTTATGCGTGAACAATACAGGCGCAGCAAATGCGCTTTTTGCTGCACTCTGTTGAAGATCCTATGTGGCTAAATTCCTCCATAGAGGAATAATCACAGGCTGTCATGCTTGGACGCGTTGCAGATGGTACGAAAGCATTTTCCTGACAGTATACTTCATGCAATGGATTTGGGCAAACCCTATCTTTGGGCTATCGGCTCGAGTACTTGTACTCGGATTGTCTTCTGCTAAACGTACGACATTCTTCCTCATTGTCTGGCGTTCTCGTCGTTCACTCTCGGTTCCTGGTAGGTCTCATGAAACAGTCTCACTTAACCTCCTGTATAGACGTGCGAAGATGGTGTGATGAGGAGCATGCCTGTGCGGGAAACGTTCCTACTGCAAAGACCGTTCGTCTGCAGCTGCATACGCGAGGTACATGTCGGCCACTTAAACTTTTGAATACTCGTCCATCCTACTGCCTCGCGAACCGGTTCGCAAATGTTGACTTCCAACACGATCGCTGTTCACATGACCTCCCTTTCAACGCCCTCTACTGCATGACGAAGGCATTTGCGATCCTGCAATGCTATGTGATTCTGAATCTTCCTAGTGACCCCTACATATCCTCCTCCTGTTAAGTTTGTCGCACCAGTAGCGAATCACCCTGTATACACTGTGTCCACAGAAGTCCTTACGCCGCCTTTATTTTCACAACCGCTGGTGGTAGACATACATTTCCAAATACCAAATGTTTCAAATTACGCAAAGGTTTATCTTGTAGCATTTTTAAATTTAAAAAAGAGTTTTGTGAAAACTACAAAATCTAACTTTTCGCACGCTTTCTCTGTCCCTGTACTTATATTTAGGGAAATGTTTTACTCGTTATAAAATGCACAACACAGAAAGTTTGATTTCCGTACCACAAAAATTGACCAACATATTTAATTTCAAAATATGCGATTTCTGACGTCATTTTTAGTTTCCTTTGAGGTGTCGGTTATTAAAAAAATTAGAATAAATCGATGTGATGTTGATTTTTTTCCTCTTTATATACCATTTTAAAATATGCGTTTGCGATTTAATACTCTCTTTAATTTATCATTTTGTTACACTTAATATGCTAAAAGAATTTTCACAAAAATAATTATAAATTTTTGAAGACTATTTAATATTCTTATGAAGTTTTGTTATTTTAGAATTATGATCTAATCATACAAAAAATTCATTAAACTACAAATATTTTTCATTTTTAATTAATGCAAATAATATTACGAGTTGGCTCCGTACCTGTACGGAAGTCTGCTGGTGTTTTCTAAAACACGAATTCTATAAGTTCCTAGGACTATTACTTCCATTTTGAAAAAAGATTTAGACTGATTCATACCTTTCACAATAATCTGCATAAAAATGCTCGTAACTTTATCTCTTAACATTTGAAACCTTTTTCTAAACTGATATTTTATTTTTGGTTATGTACAAATGCAGACATATAGCTCTTCAGTTCGTATACGACCCCTGAAAATGATCTCCAAATTAAATATCAAATATCTCGTTCAATTTTTGTCGGTTGGGAGTCACAGTTTTCTGTGTTTTATTTCTAAATTTTTCTAAATGTAAGTATAGACACAGGAAAAATATTAAATTTAGTAATTTTTACAAAATTGTTTTTTTTTTTTAATTTAAAAATGCAAAACAGGAATATTTGCATCATTTAAAACATTTTTATAACTGGAAGTCTGTCTGCAACCAACCAACGGTTCTGAAAATAAAATCCGGGTAAGGATTTTTGTGGACATGGTGTATATATACATGTATATTAAAAATATCTGATGGAAATTTTCTAAAAGTTTTATAGAGGTGACGGATATATATAGACGGTTTTATAGATGTTAATGCTGGAGTTAGAGCACACAGAAATTTTTCAGTGACTATGTAGTCTTGATACTTTCGCAGATCATCTTTATTTAGCAAAACTCGTGGAATAATGAACATAATGAAAGACTTCAATTGCTGATGCGGTCGCACTTGCTGTTCAGTTTTTTTTTTTTTTTTTTTTTTTTTTTTTTTTTTTTTTTTTTTTTTTTTTTTTTTTCCCGAGGATCACAGCTGCCGAGAGAGGCGGTGCAGCAAAATTTTTAGGAAAGCACAGAGCAGAAAAATATAAAAGTTGCAAAATTTTTAGAATTTAGAGAGGCATTTAGTAGCAGAATTTAGGGGCTTTATCATTTGGAAGGCACTCGGCAGTAGAAATTAGAACCCACAAAGCTTGCACCAGGCCGCAGAAAACCATGTTCCGGGCCTGCAAAGTATATGTTTCACTGAAGTGGTAAGCGAAATGTTCAACGATTCGGTTACTTGTTCAAAGATACCTCGCCTTTTCAAGGAATGAAACATTCAAAGTACTAGAATATCACTGCTATCAAATCACACTAGAGCAGCGATTCTCAACTGGTGGTAAGCGAGAGAAAAATAGGCGGTACGCAAAGACACAAAGTATTTTTAACTGTTATATTAAAAAATTAAATACCCTAACATCCTGTTCAAGTTTTTTTTTTCTCTAGCACTTGTAAATTTATGCGATCTGAGCTTTGTTCCAGGTCAAAATCCACTCATAGACTTCGCAAACTAATCCGTTCTTATTGTGACAAATATTCGTTCAGCCATACAAAATTTTGCCATAAATGATGTTTTTAAAAGGCGTAATAGAAATTCACATTGTATTTAATAGGAAATAAAAATAAGTTCCTATGAAAAGATAATATAACCTCACAAATTCTTTTAGAATTGATCAATTTATTAGCATTCTACACTTTACGTCGCCGCCATTTCCGGGCTCATATTGCTCTGTTTTCAATTAGAATAATTTTTTACGTTTATTTGTTGTCCCTAACAGCAAGTATTCTTCTTCTTTTGCATTCCTTACTTTTCTACGCGACTTGAGAATATCGTTGTCTGTTTTTTTAAGAGCTCGTAATATATTGCGCATTTAAATAGTTGTGAAAAAATAATAAAACAAACCTAGATTTTTCAGAATGGAAGAATGCCTACGATTGACTCAGTGGAAAAGTGATGATTCACAGGGGATAAAATCAGGACAATCTACTAGCACTAGGAACATTGAAAAGAAAAGAAAAATTATTTATAGAAAACATAATTAAATTTATTTATCGTTTAGATTTACTTGGAATGGAATTCAAATCGACCTTCGACCTCGGTGTGTTGTTTGCGGTGAACAACAATCAAAGTATGAAACCATCATTTCTTAAAATACATCAAAGTATGAAACCATCGTTTCTTAAAATACATCAACGTATGAAACCATCGT